CTTTGAAAGGGTTTTCGTCTCAAATGCTTAGTGGAAGCAAGGACTACTCTCTGCGATCTCTGGACAGCAACAAACAAGCCCCCTCAGACTGCAACAATGAGTATTGTCTGTTGCAGGCTATAAATGGCAGGAAAGGTGGAAAAGTGAAACCACTGCTCCTCACCAGGATGGGTGGTTTCCTCCTCACCCCTCTCCAGCACTGACTCCACTAATCTGGAGAGAGAGGGAGAGACTTCACCTGCTATTCTTCATCGTAAGACTATAGTCCTTAACATTCTGTTAATTTGTGTAAGTGCATTCATAAAATGTGCTGTACGAGGTATCGGTGTTCAGCCTCCATCGTTTCAGCTCCATGGTAGCATCGGGAACACGTTCAGATCGTGCAAATACTGGATTAATGTAATACAGTGTGTAGTTTTGGAAAAGTGGGGGGCTTCCAGAGGCATGTGCCGTGTCTAGGTGAACTGCTTCCAATAAAGAGGTCAATATTTTTCATAGAACAAAAAAAATTGTCTTCATTGCTGGTATGACTCTACCACTCTGAGTCCCCTTTCACAGGTCAGAACCCTTCTCAGGCCCATGTTTCTGTCAAGTCTGTTTGCATTAGAATTGCATACGGAAAAGCGATTCTCTATGTCAACCAAGTTCCGACATAAAACTTCTACACACCATACTAACAATCACTTGCGACTGAAACAGAGCTCGCAAACCTAAACAGTACAATTATTAAATTGCCAACAATGAATAAAAAGTTACTATAATGAAAATAAAAGCCTTCCCTTATCTAGGTCCAGTGGTGGTCCAGCCAGTTCGATTTAGAGCAGCAGTCGGCAACTGGTGGCCCACAGGCCCGCGAGGCAGTTTCATCTGGCCCCCCGGTACTATTATAGAAATCGTGCCCCACCCGTCCTGCCCTCCCAGATCTCAAGGACTGCACGTGAACTTAGCCCAGAGAGTATGTACTGCACCTCCACTTGCTAAAGCAACTAGCAGGTTCATGTTATGATCAGAGTTCAAGAATCTCCTCCCATTATTCTTTCCACAACCTTAAATTAGCAACTCTAATGCGTGTGGTTGCATTTTTCCAATATCCAGCACCCAAACCGAGGGTCACACTATAGCATGACTAAATGAAAACATTTGTTTTCAATTTATTCATGCCAGTCTGAATTCCTGTAAATTTTTTGTAGTACAGTGAAACCCGTTTAAAAGGAACCCACAAACTGAATTATTGTTGATATCGAACTTGCAGAAAATTTAAATAAAAATGCACATGAAAAGTAATTTTTATAACGAACAACATATTGGCTATATCAAACTTCCCCCCCCCCCCCCCCCCCCCCCCGAGAAGGTTTCCAAAAAAAGCACAAAAAATTGTCTTCTAGCCTGTCGCTTCCTCCCCAAAAAAGTAGGAAAGAAAGAAAATTGCAAAACCTCAATTTGCAAACATAATTGAGTGGAGAGAAGAGATTCAGAAGGGGCAGAAAGCTAAAAAATACACTGCATGCAAGCACAGAAAAAAAGGTTTGGTCCAAAAACGGTTGCCCACGAAGAGAAGCTGTTCAAAAGGAGAGATAAGCTAAAAAGGCAAACTCTGCACACATGCAAAAAAAAGAAAAAGGAAAAAGTTTCCAGCATGTTGTTACAAGGTGGAAGCGGAGACGGGAAAGGAAGAGAAGGGCTCTTGCCTTACAACGAACGTGTCGTGGAAGTTCGTTGAAAATGTTTTTTGCTATATCGAACTGATCGTAGCATTTCCTGCTGTTCGTTATAAACGGGTTGGACTGTATTTGTTTTACCCCCCTCCCCGGTTCGGCCTGCTCAGCGTTGCACTTGTGGAGACTGCCCGTTGCTGAAAAAGTCTGCCGACCCACCGTTTTTGAGCATTATGTGGACGATGAAAGATTTCGTTTTGGAGCACTATTGTATTGGGGATATTCAAATTTTGAAGCAGTGCCAGCATACTTTTGTAGCACTTCGGCACAGTTTCCTATTAATGATACAGGAGTGCAGTTGTCTGATCACTACTGCATGTGTGTACGCACCCAAGCTTAGAAGTTCTTACAACTGTAAAACAGTGCCAGGTGCTATTGCAAACAGACATCTACACCTTTTTACTCATCTGCAAGTTCTGAACAAGTTGTTGTCTAGACGAAGGTTAGAGATGGCAAAGTTCAGATCCCAGCCTACGTATTCTTTGACAGGTTGGGAGATAATGGAGGTTGTGGGACCCGTAAACCTAGCAAGAAGAGAGATCAAGTGTTCCCTCTCGTACTGTTCGTGATAATACACATTGTATGTTAATTGCACATAGGCTTTTTCACAAAACGGCGCCAGAACTCTCACGGAATGTAACAAATACCAAAGAATCACTCGTATCTACAGCGAAATCTCCAACAAGCGTCCATATTTTTGGAAGAAAAAAAAGTGTTTGAGAGGTGTGAATGTTTTTTTTTCAGAAGAGCTGAAGAGAGGAGGCAAAGCAAGAAGAAAAAATGAGATTATGTCACATGCCTCGTCTGCCTCATTCAATTGCAATTTTTTCTTTCAAAATACTGCCATCCATTTGAGATATCGCTTTGCATGGTGAGGTAAGATTTGTAGCGCCCTACCTAGTGTTCCTGCGCTGTTTTGTGAAATATAAATTTCAGTCCAGCACCCCTCCGAGTTGAGTTTGTTATTTCCCATCAATGGCCAATGGACAAAAGTTACCAGGCTTCACGTAAGCCCAGTGTTATTTACTAACAATCATTGCATAGTGTTGGTATAGTGTTCATTTTCTATTACAGACAGACATTGTGCACATCATGAATCAGTTTTTTTTATTTACAACATAAATCATAACGACAATATGCTTTTTGTACACATTTAATTAAAACTAGCAGTTCCTTGCGGCTGAAACTGCACTTGACTTTGAAGACGTTAGATTAAAATTTCTTTCACCCTTTAACTGGGGAGTGCGTATCCAGACGCGCATCAATTTCGACCCACCACAAAGGTCGGGATGCCTTCCCAGGATCGGGTAGAATTGGGAACCCAAACATTCTTCAGATAGTTCAATAGGCCGCAGCAGGGACTGTCAGAAACGGCAAATGCCGTGGCGGCGTTAAGTTTAAAGCGCACTGTACCTACATTCTCTGCAAGCACCTTTATGCTTCGGTAAATTAGCATAGTGTCTATCAGCCATTTGCAGTATTCCCAAGTGCTCCGGCCCGCACTTGAGAAATCATGGGAACGGTGTTCCTTCAGCTCCCTAGTGATTGTCAATTTTAACCAATTCCATGGTTACACAGTTTTTGTGCGTAATTTGAAGTCGCCCTGAACAAGCGCCGGATGAACCCCAAGGACCTGTCATATCACTTTTAAAGTTTCTTGTCAATGTCAGCATTTTGATACTGTACATGCGATCCGCCTTTCAACCTGGTTGAGCTGTAGAAATCTCTTGCAATATTATCATTCTTGTGATTGTTCTTTTAGCAGGAATTGCTTAAAAAGCCGAGAATTCACAACAAAAAACAGGATATAGCTCGGAGTATGCGGGGCTGTTTATAGCATTTTTTTAGCGTTTCTAACTTAATATCGTCTTTGAAGCTGTATGAGAATGCAGGGGTGGAACTCATGAAATGTACTTGGGAGCAGCTGAAACAGCTGTTTTAGAGCAGGTTGGGAGCAGCTAAAACTACATTCTGGAGCGGGCTAGGAGCAGCTCAGATCAGCTTTCATTGCACTTCAGCTTGTGCCTTAGACAAGCACGGGAGCAATTTCAATTGTGCTTAGCAACACATATGAACATGAGGGGTTAGGAACCTAGGTAGATGGGGTAACAGTGGAATAGATAAGAAAACTTGAAACTTCGTGAGCCTTAATGAGTACCAAAAAGCAAGTATTGTATGTTTCTGAAGATAGTGTCCTTGATATTTTCTGAGTGGCCTTCAGCTGCTCAAAATGCAAACCACTGCTTATCGCACAATTCACATGTGCTTGACATAGTAATTATATGTGCGAGCCACGTGACATGCATAACAACAGACGCACACTTGTGCGGAGGAACAGGGTAACAAATTTCGAGTTTATGCTATTGTGCAACTCGATATCGAAGCAGCAGACTATGATTAATTGAGTTATCGTATTCGAAGCGATAAGCAGGAGCAAGGTTAAAGTACGCCGGGCAGATCTACCGCTTGCGTGAGAGCTGCTGGCCGGCAAGGTTTCGGATCTGACCACATTTCAGTTCAATGAAGTCATGATTTACCTTGCGGGAATGCAGTTTGAACTTCTAAGAATGAAGTACTAAAAGGAATATTTTGCTCATGTGTCCTCAACTGGCTGACGTCCAAATCCCAAGCCGCAGAGCCTCAGGCAATCTGACGCTTAATGACTCGACCTCACCTCGGCCGACTTGCTTAACCGCTTATGGTTGAAGAATAACAATCCAGTCGCAGGTGGTGTAGCGCTTGGAATCCGACCCCCGAGTTTTTTTGCGCGCTTCCGATTCGGGATACACACGGAGAATAAACAGAAGAAAGGATTGCAAGGCCGACCAAGCTAAACGCGCTCACTGTTGCCGGTCGAATCAATAAAAACCGAAACCAAGGCAAAATAAAAAAGCGCACGTTTTGCGATTTGGTGCATAATGGCACAAGGTATTGGCCGTGGCACAGTTTCCGCGAAATGGCACAGCCGTTCCAACCCTGAGAATGATAATGTAAGAGATTTCTGCAGCTCATCCAGGTTGAAGGGTGGACAGCATGCACAGTATCAAAAACGCTGACATTGAGGAGAAATTTTAAAAGCGATATGACAAGCCATTGGCGTATATCGGCCGCTTGTTCAGGGTGACTTCGAATTACGCTCAAGACCTGTGTAACCAAGGATATGGTCGAAATTACCAATTACTAAGGAGCTGAAGGAACACCGTTTCCTTGATTCTTTTAGTGCGGGCTGGGGCGCTTGGGGGATATAGAAAATGGTCTATTGGACCACCACTGCAAATTGGCCTCTTAACAGTTAAACCGTGTCTGGTGGCTCAAGATGAGGGTCTCCTTGTCGGGTCGTTCATACCCGCTCGACAGAGGTGGGGGAGTCTCTGTGGTGTGTGCCTCCCTTGCAACTCTGTATGATGCGTAGTGCGAGTTCAACCTGAGGGCCTCCTCCAGCAGCTCACGGACGTAGACTGAAATTGGGGCTACATGTTAGGAGTTGACACTTATACTCTCTGGACATGCTCACCGTACGTGCAGGGCCCCTTTGTGGGAGCAACAACCGCTCTCTTGGTCTGCTTGGGGCACTTTAGCAGCCACCTTTTGCTGCCCTCTTTTGTGGTGGCTTGTGGCCTACTTCCATTTTCATTAAAATGTAATGCTGCCACATATGTTCTGGAAAGTAAAGGCTTTAGTAAGCATTTGTAAGGAGAAAGATGATGGGCTTGTATACCTTGCCGTCATGCTCTGATAGCCGAAGTGCGTAGATTTCGGCGCAAACTGAATTAATGTGCTATGAAAGCACTCGGTAGAAAATGTCTGTGCCGAAGTCGATAGGTGTGGTATGTCCTTCAGCAGAGCCTTTGAGAGCACAATGCTCTTGAGCTTGTCATGTGCTGGAAGCCCTGTATAAAATAAATTTTATTACAGATGCTTTGTTATGAATGTCGTCCCTACAACAGTAATATTAATACAAATAAGAGTAAGTCAATAACTAGTAGGTTAGTAAAGCTAAATGCAACAATCTAACTTCCAAAGAATACAATAGGAAGAACAAGGGGAAATCACAAAACACACTGAAAATTCCTACGCGATAAATTCGCCAATCCCTGTGATTAGCGATATTTACTACAGCAAAGGTACAGTCGTCATCAAAATGAGCGTGAACTAGGCTGCCATCGGCCGGCTGGTACTGCCAGCTCCAGCTAGCGGCGCTCTCACAAATCACAGTGAGAGTAAGCACCTTTGCAGTAGAAACTGAAACGCTGTTGCATTAGCGTGTGTCACCCTCGTTCTGGAATTGTAAAACCGCCCGTGGAACGTCTGTTTCATTTTACAGATAGTTGCAAATGCTGGTTGCGATAGCCAATCTGCCACTGGCAGTGCTTTCGAACGACAAATTCTGCTGTGTAGTTTGCGTGTTTCGGCACGATTTTAATCACTCTTGATAGTAGAAGCAATATCTGTTTGACAACGAAGTAGGGAACGGGCATTATCAACAGGTCTTGAAGTCGGTATGAATGAAGACTCGTTATACAATAAAATACCTATTCATAAACACCTGGGCGCCTCCTAAAAGAAAGTATTGAAACGATTATTAGTTCCTCATTCACGAAAAGGTAACGCACGAAGCGAGATTAAAAGAACAGAGCGTGTGTGTCAGGTCGCATCCACACCGACCGCTCTACCTTGATAAATATATGAAGCGGCACGCCCCGCTTTATGCAAAGTAACGTGAAAAAGTGGGTACAGTGCGTTCTCGCAAAAGCGAATTCGTTCTTTCTGCGCAGGTGCTTACTCTCAGTGATTCGGGGAAGCGCCCCTAGCTAGAGTTGGCAGTATCAATCGGTCGACGGCGGCCTGTTCACGCTCATTTTGAGGACGACCGTACCAGACACTGAAAGCTACTATTACTGCAAGAGTTTAGCCACCAGTCAAGCTATGGCCAGTTCAGACCCTTATATATAGATGCACAAGTAATTTGCCGTTCTGTTTGACCAGATAAACCCGGTGGCCAACATTGTTGTCCTCTCTACCTCACAATATATATCTCGGAATGGAGCGCTCCCATATCAGAACCTTCATTGTGCTTTGAGGTTCCCTTACCCTCTGGAAGCCACTTCTTCTTCCCCAGGTCTCCATGCTGGCATTTGGGGTAGGTGGGATCGGCATGGTCGTGGATGTCTGCCACATGTCCCACCAGAGATGCCCACTTGGGGAGGATTTCGTCTGGCGCTTCCTCACTTGATTCGGCACACCAGTATAGGTGCTTTACGATGGGCTGCACCCAGTCCTGGAGTGCCGCAAGGGACTTGAGCTTGCCAGCAGCCACAAGACGTTTCTTTATGCCTTAAAAAATGTGAGTTTTCAGCGTTAAAATCTAGAGAAAACAATAGACCGCTTCAAAAATGAAATTCATCTCTCAGCTGAAGTAGCAGTCGAAGTTCATACATTCTAAAAGTCACATTTGGGAGTTTTACGAGCCAAACCAACAACGGGCATCTGGCACGCCCCAGCGGAGGATTGAGGATTAATTTCGACCATTTTGGGAATCTTTTGACGTGCAACCGAAGGCCTGGTTACACGGCGCCTCCTCCGCAATAAGCCTCCGTCAGATTGTGGGCACCTCGGCTGGGATAGTTCATACATTCTAAATGCGGTAATAAGAATTTTGCATTATTTAACTGAGCACTGTTACTGTCATACGTCACTAGCAGACGGTGTTTTATTTAGCGTACGCATATTCGATTAACTTCAGTTTCGATAGTGACATAATAATAGAAGTACCGAATTGGAATGCAGCTCTTGAGGAGGAGGAAGGGAAGGTACGATGAGGAGGCTATGCCCCTCTTCCTCTCCTCTCGTTTAGGGGGAAATTTTTCCGCTAAATTTAGTGGGGAAACTTTTCCGCTAAACTTGGCGGGGAAATTTACCCATAATGCACTGCGCGGTTACGGCGATGCCAACGCCGCTCAAGTCGTAAACGGGCACCCAAGAGCTGCACTCTAAAAAAAAAAATCCTTTACGAAGTGCCCCGACTGTAGTGGGCCACATATTTTGAGATTCAAACGCGAGTTACCGTGACATACATGTTTAGTACGTTGCACGTCAGGTCACTCCCTGAATCAATTGCGATGCGGCATACAAAAGCACAAATGCCGTGGTGACTCAGATTCCAACCTTGACATAAACATGCAACGTTATGAAGTCTAACAGGACAGCACTGGGCCACAAAGGCTATAAACACGAGCTGTCACGTGCACCTTACTTTTGAAACATCTTTTTCTAGAGCAAGGTATTCTACCGGAAAAGACCGCTTCAAAGCGCCAGTCTTGAGATGGTATCCTATGCCACTATCAAAAGGCCGTCATTAGCATGTATAGAAACACCGATGGTGATAGTGAACGAAGTGACCGGACTTAATTTATAAGAGGGTCTAGTATTGCTTACTACTGGCTCACACAGGAGGCTATCAACAGTTGGGAGATATTGAAACTGAAGCTTCCTGTTACAAAGAAACTCCCCCCCCCCCCCCCCACCCCCCAAATTCGTGGCGAGTGGCATGTCACTATCCGGTGTTGTTTTGGCTTTATCATTCATACAGTAGTGGCACAACATCCGGAGTCCGAAAACAATCAACCAGATAGCTCTGCAAACCGCAGCAATTGCAATGCACTGCTCGTGTGAAGTATCCCCACATCGCACCGGAGAAGTGGTTGACGTGAGGGAGCATCTTTCCCACGTCTACTGTTAGCTCAACGCGGTCAGAACATTTTACAATTGCAGGTCGTTCCCCGATTTTAAAGAACAGTGCCAGAAGGAAGTAGGCCTACATTTAAAAAAGTATGGTATTCTCGCGTGCGAAACTATCTTGTTGGCCTTTGATACGTCCTACGGCCAGATCAATGGCCATAGGACGTGCTAGAGTAAATAAAAGTTTACACTAATAAATGCAGGCCTACTGTACTCTCTTGTCATCGTTCATGTTTGCCCCAATGACAGGCAGAGCTAGGACATTGTGTAAAAATTACAGGTATCCCTAGACTTTTTTTAGGTGTTACTTGATAAACCAGAACTCTACCTATGGCTTACCTTTTGCGACGTGCCAGCAGTCAAATCTGTGCAAAATGTGGGGATGGACCTTGGCCAGAAAACACTTAATCATGCTGTGGCGATCGGTGATGACGGAATCCACAATTAGGCCATTTGCCTCAAAGATCACAAGGGTTCTTTTCAGTCCCTCGAGCTCCATAGCCCAGCTCCCCTTTGTTTCGTTGGACTGCAACAAAAAATTACACATTGTGCTCTCACAGTGAACGTCGAGGTATCCAAACCAACTTAACTAAAGCTGATAAACAGGACCACCTGTCAGATGTTGCCTCCCCATTATGTCTTTGTTCTCAGCATTTCATACTTCAACTATTTTCACAAACACAAATGAGCCTTTGTTTCCTCTGTACCTGTCATGGATATCAGACGGAAAGTTTCAGGAAGAGTGACATAATCCTATAACAGTGGTTCTCAACTATTGATGTTGCGCGGACCCCTTGTGGATAAGCGGAGATAATGAGGACCCCTTTCGCGTGGTGAGGGGAGGGCGAATGTATAGGTTAAATATAATAATGACATAATAAATGGATTTAACTAAGGGCTAGTGCAAAGTAGACCTCTTATTGACATGCACACAAGAAAACTAGCCCGAAAATGGAAAAATTCCTTCTCGATCTGAAAAAAGATAACTTTTATTGCCGAACTTGACTGATGAGGCAGGGCTTTGCGGACCCCTAGAATGTCTTCCCGGACCCCTAAGGGTCTGCGGACCCCCATTTGAGAACCACTGTCCTATAACATGCACAACCTAGCGTCGCATCGGCCCCATTAACATAAGCTACAATTTCTTTCTTAAAAAGTAAAAAGGGGTTGAGGTTATGAGTTTAAAAAATCCGAATGAATCTGCACCCCCGGGGGAACTTTACCTGCACTGTTTCGACATGCAGAACCTTTTTTGTCTTGGAGTCGATCGCCGTGTATGTACCATATTTGGCCGAGTGCCCAGGGGAGTCTGATCGCCCATCACATGCAAGGACCAGCCCTCGCCCAGTGGATTCTTTGAAGAGCTCAGCCTGCTGTTTGTTCCATACCTGGTAGGACAAAATTTAATAAAGTTTTTGTTAATGAACAACAAACGGCAGCATCTAGAATATCAGACCAAGGTTCTTCCACTTTATTAGAAGAGGGAGTTGCCAACAGCAAAGAAACATATATTAATCATGAAATGCTTATAGCTCTCGTTATCGCCAAACCGTCTCTGAAACCGTTCACGAAATATTGTCAAAAGTGATTCCAAAACCCTTTGGAAATATATCCGAAACCTTTCGAACTGTGTGTTCACTCACTGAGGAGTAAAAATAATTCATCCCCTGATAGGTATCGAACCTGGGTCAGCTGGCTGGGAGCCGAGCGCTCTCTATTCAGAGCTATCCTACGAGTACTTCACAAGGGTATTAAAATTTGGGTCAGCTGTGCTTGACTATGATGACCCGTGGGTTTGCTGGTGTGCAGGCCTCTTTGCTGATGTGTTAAAGATATGTAGCCCTATGGCCACCAAAATCGCCATACCGGCGATTTTGGTGGCCATGGCGCAACAAGGGTGGTACACCCTCTGCTTGTTACTGTGGTGCCTGTTCTGGGATGCTATGAGCATCGCGAGACAGGGGCCCGAGAAAGAAGACAATGAATATGCGCTCGATAAATTCCGATTCAATGACCGATACTCGATGGAAGCTTGCCAGGGATTGTGAGCGCCCTAGTTATCAATTTCGTGTCAACTGTGCACGACCATGACCTGAGAGCTTGCTTGTATGCAGGGCACTTTGCTGATGTGGAAAGAGCTTTTCACACCATAGGTTTTGGATACTGTAGCGCCACAAGGTTGGTATGTACACTTTCTGGTCGTTACTGTGGTGCACGTGCCATACTCCATTTCACCTTCAGTCCGAGCGCAGTGCATGCTACAAGCAATACAATCTAATCCAGCGTTAAAAGTGACAGGTAATCTAGAGCTCCGCATGTCACACCACCCAATGAGAAGGTCGCGTGATACTCTCGCGGCGCTGGATTGGCTCAGCTTTCAATGCGGTCAGACTGAGGGTGAAACAGAGTATAGGATTCCACGAACACCGCGAAACAGGGGCCCAAGGTAGAAGCTGATTGAATGGGGGCTCAATACATTCAGATTCAATAGCTGACACTCGATGAAAGCTAGCGTTGGATTTTGGGCGCCTAGTTCTGGACAATGCTGGGGACGTGCCAGGGGGGAGGGGGGGCACTTGGGGAAAGGGTGCACTCGCTAATACACGGATTGCACTAGCACCTGTGGCCCTGCAAATCACTTCATGCTTATACCGACTCTCAGTTACGAGATAGAATACTGTAGTTTCTATTTTTTCTGACTAGCTTTCAAACCATAAATGTAGCAGGTATATGTTCAAGATAATGGGCAACTTGTTCCTTTTAATTATGAGACATTAATAGCCAGCTAGGGAACAACCATAGGCTGCATTCGACAGCAGCTTTACAGCAAACGAGGAAATATTCCTGGCTTGCTGTAGAGCAAGCCAGGAAAACACACACTCAGAAGATTGCCGTCACAAAGACAGCCAATATTTGATTTGTACTGTCAAGGCGTTGCTTCCACTCTACAGTCCACTGTATCATAAAAAGTTAGGACCGTGTCAACGCACCTCAGGAACCTGAATGCTGTGTTACATGTTTCAGCATTTATGCTAATAACACGGGCATCAAAGCTCTTGGTACATCTTTTTTGGCATGGTCCTTTCAAGTGAAGTAGAGCATATTTCTGTTCGTTAAGTCTCATAGTAGTTAAAAATGGTGCTCCAAAATCCAAACGGGTAATTTATATTGCAGTACACGTGTTGCTTGTCCAACCTCTCACCTCATAGGTAAGCTGATAGTTTGCAAGCGGACTCAGTTGTCCTGTGCACAGGCAAAGCCTGTGCAGACAGCTTCTACAAAGACCAAGCCGACCTGATACATCATTAAAGGTTTAGTGGATGCATCTAAACCTGACTGCTTCCCAGCCCGTTTTCTCCCCTACCTCGCAGTTGGACTGTCAAGCCAAAAATTATGGTTGAGCATTTCCTCACATCTGGGACAAAAACCCATATTTCGAAAAGTATGGTGTCAGCAACAACTGGAAACATGTCAAACCTGTCTGATGGCTGGCAGAAGGAAGGCAGCCTGGACCTTGAAGAATGTTCTATATGAGATGCGGGGCACTCCGATTTGGGTGAAAAGCCGCAGGACCTTCTTCACAATGCATCCAGAATAGAGAGTCACTGCAGCGAAGAGTATGTTGCCCAGTGGCCTCCTGTTCACAATGGGCTGGCTGCTCCAGCAGTGCACATCGCCGTTGTTGCAGATTCTTCGTACTGTGAGGCATGTCCCCTTGACCTTCTTATATATAGTGTGGCAGGGTGCGGCACACTTCGGACATTTAGCAAGGAGCTCGTCCAAGAAAGATTCAAAAATCAAGAACTTTCTTTCTAAGATGTGGTCGTTTATGGCAGCACTGTTTTCTTGGTCCAGCGGGTTGGCACAAGATGTGCTTGTCTGGTGGTCGTTTATGGCAGCACTGTTGTCGTTGTCCAGTGGGCTGGCACAAGATGTGCTTGTCTGGTGATCCCTGGAAGTCAGATTTGAGAAACATGCAAAAGATTGTAGGATAACCTCACTACTAAAGTGGAGTAGAATGCTGGCCTACAATGCAAAACAAAGATTTGCATAAAGCGAAGTATATGAAAGAATACACGACAAGTGCCATGCTTTCATGCTCGATACTACACATAACATGTATTGTACAGATACAAACCTTAGAAAGCTGGTGCCTGACATCATCAGAAGGCTTGTGTCGGATGGAAGATATGTTGTGTCCGCTTCCAAATGTTGCTCAGGCAGCTCTGTAAAAGACTCCTCGCCGGAATCTTCTGGGATGGCTGGTTCGCTAGTAGCTGTGTGCGGCTGCGGTGGCACTTCTGGCTGTAGTGGCGCCGATGGTTCTGGCGGCATTGGAGGTTGTGGCAACTGTGTCAGCACTGTAGGCAACGTCCAATCTAATTGTGCCTGCAGGAGGTGATTTGGTGATGAGCAACGTGGCCTCACAAGGACAGGATCCGTTTGGCTGTATCGCGACGGATTCTTGATGATGACTTGTGTGCCTGCAAGTGTCATTGGAATGTATTACAATAGATTAAATATTATTAACTTCTGTTCATCTGCTTTTTATAGATACATACTTGCGTTTCTGCGCAAGTAGAGGTCTGAGGACTGCGTAGCAGCATTCAGAAGATCAGGTCGAGCTTGTGCAGCAGCATCCAGAAGATCAGGTCGAGCTTGCGCAGCAGCATCCAGAAGATCAGGTCGAGCTTGTGCAGCCTTACTGAGGGAGGAGGCTGTCCGTAGCAAAGAAAATAAAAGTGCATTTCAAAACAAAACTATCATTCACCGGTGCACTCAGCAGAAATCTAGGCCATCTCAGTTTTGTTCCAAAAGGAGTGTGGCCATAACTGAAGAGATTAAAATTTACCCAAGGATGGGTGGATGGATGTTACTGACTATACCTTTTGCAGCAAGCGGTAGCTTGCGCCATCTAGCCTAAGACTAGGAAAGACAAACATTTGATTCCTCCCGCCGTTCTAAGCCAATTTTTCCCCCCTAACTATTGCCAGGTAGTGCGGGATATCACCAGGGTGACTTTTGGGGGATCAGGCAAAAAAACTAATAACATCACCCCCGCCTCCGCCTCTTCACCCCGGGCGAGGGAGCCGCCAATTTTCCTTTGGTCAAACCTTGTCGGCGTTACCCCTGCACCGGACTCACTGGGAGACAGGGTTGAGACTTTGGGCCGGAGCCACATAGGAGGGAGTCCCAATTTTCCTCTGTCCCGCCTGTCCCCAGCTGTGCTAGTTAGTTGTGCATCATCCAATTTTCCCTAGATAATTTCCACCAATCTTCTAATCGCCTCTTTGTGACTGTAATCACGTACACTGCATCAATGTTGCCTGTTGAAATTTTAGGATTCGTTGCCAGACACATGAAACAAAGTATGAGGTTTCCACAAAATTAAGTTAAGAAGTATTGGGCAGGAGATCGAACTATAGGGGCGCTTTATCGAGCTTGTTGTCCACACAGCGCGGTGCTTACTAACACAGCAAAACAAACAAATTGAATTTCGCCTAGCATGGTCTAAGCACGAGCGCTTCGCTTTCACCAGTGCTCTGGACGCACGAGGAGCGGCCTTCGAATCATCATCTTCGATTACTCTGATCAACAACAAACAATAAAATTAGGTTTGTTGTTTACACAGCTGCAGCATGCCGCTAGTGGCGCGAATGCTCAATCTCCTCCCCAATACAGTGGCGTCGAAACAGGGGGGCAGGGGGGGGCTCTAGACCCCCCGAAATTTCAGACAGCTGTAAACAATGTGGGTGAAGGGGGTGGGGCCAACCTCAGCCCTCAGACACTTTTGACACCACTGGAAGTATAGACACTATCCTGCATTACTCTGCAAAATGGGGCTTTTGCTAGTTGACATCCCAGCGAACTTCCGGGTCATACAGAAGCGAATCAGTTCCCATCCTAACGAGGCACCTTGAAACGCCAAACAACCCATAATTATGATGTCCACATAAATGACTGGTTTTCAAAAGAACACTTGAAGACTTTTCAATACACTTGTAAGCCACCGGGTGCCTATATACGCTTACTAGAGTGGCAGAATGCGCTCTAGTAAGCATCGTCGTTTGTACATCCTAGAACTCGTGGCATAATGAAGCTCTAGGACGTTTCACAAAAATGACGGACCGGAAGTTCATTGGGACGCAGGAGGCAGCTTCTGTTTGTAAACATGACAAGGGTCTATAGCATGCTGCGGCAAACCTCACTCATGAGGGCCCTCACTCACCCTCATCTTCACAGGTGAGGTGAGGGTGAGTGAGTTTCTGAACCAGGAAATTCATGAGTGTGAGGGCGAGTGAGGGCCTTGAGGGCTGTCAGGATCGTGAGTGCGTCAGGGCGGTGAGTGCGTGAGGGGAGTGAGGGTTATGAGTGCATGAGGAGCGTGAGGGAGGTGAGTGGCGTGAGGGCCATGAGTGCGTGAGGGGTATCAGGGCTGTGAGGGCGGTGAGTTGTTGTTGATTGCGGGCTTTATGGCGCAAAGCTACTATGGCCACACTGCGCCAAGCTTGTTTAGTTCGGACATACTCAGGACTGTTTTATATGAATTATCGAAAAGAGGTTCATATGACAAGGTTAAAAGTCAGAGTTAAAATTACAACTCCAGTAGGAAGCCGGTTTTTCTTAAGTAATTTATGACACAATCAAATGGTACTATAGGAGTCTCCCCAATTAGCAGCGCTGGGTGAAAAGGAATCTGGTGCGAAAAAAACTCGGGGAAATGTGTACGTCGTTCTTGCTCAAGCCCTGGGCACAGCCACAAAATGTGTAAAATTGTTAAACGCTCCCCACATTCATCACACAGGGGTGGGGCTTCCCCCCTGAGCAGATGTTTGTGGGTGAGGAAGGAATGTCCAATTCTAAGACGACACAAAAGAACTTCAAGGCGGCGGGTTTTGTGGGATGCACTCTCCCACATACCAAGAGCTGGTTTAATCCTGTGAAGTTTGTTTTCGCATTCCAGACTCCACTCTGATTGCCATAGCTGGAAAACTGATGATTTTACCAAGGGCTTCATGTCTTGAAATGGAATCTGTGAGGTGGTTGGCAGTAGGTGCTTAGACCTCGTGGCCAATTCGTCTGCTCTTTCATTACCTAGGATCCCCACATGGCTAGGTACCCAGCAGACTTTTATGTCTAGGCCAAGCCGCAGACCACATTGTACCTTAGATCGGACACGTTGTGCCAGTCTATTTTTACTTCCCTTTATTGAGCAAAGTGTGGTGAGCACACTTTGAGAGTCCACGAATAAAATATATTTCATTGTCTTGCTGATGAGGATATATTCCAAGGCCATCAACACTGCATAGAGCTCTGCCGTGTAAATACTTGCACATTCCTTGAGACGCTGAACCTTACTGAATCCTTCAGAGTAAACTGCTGACCCTACAAAATGCAATGATTTGGCACCATCGGTATAAAATTGGGAGTAGTTACCATACTTCTTCTGCACCTCAAGAAATTCTTGCTGAATCACCACTGGGGGGACGTTATGTTTATTAAATCTAGTAAAATACCAATCGCAATAGACGGGCAACGTACTCCACGGAGCTTCATTTTCACCCTTCTGCAAAAGGTCGGTCTCGTCAAGGGTGAGGTCAAGAGATGTACAAATGTCCTCAAGGCGAAGACTTAAAGGTGGTACAACCCTGGGCTTATGTTCCAAAAGACGAGCAAACCGAGAATGTTGCAAGGCACCATACGTTGCGTGATTTGGATAGGACAAAATTCTGGAAGCATAAGTCACAGCAAGATAACGTCGTCTGTGCCTAAGTGACATCTGATTAGATTCAGCGTACAAGCTAGGAATGGGCGATGTGCGGAAGGCACCTGTAGCGAGCCTTAAACCGAGATGATGCACAGGATCCAACATTTTCAGTGCAGAAGGCCTCGCTGAGTCGTAAACTATAGCACCATAGTCCAGACGTGACCGGATAAGGGAGTTGTACAGGCGTAGCAGACATATTCTGTCGGATCCCCATGACTTGTGCGCTAAGACTTTAAGAATATTAGCTGATTTAAGGCACTTCTTCCTCAGGTCCTTCAGGTGGGAAACGAAGTTTAACTTTTTATCAAACGTTATGCCCAAAAATTTATGCTCTGTTTTTACATTAATAGGAACCCTGTTTAGCATCAGTTCTGGATCTAGAAACAGCCCCCGACGCAGAGAAAATGGCACGCAGATAGTCTTATCAGCTGAAAACTTAAACCCATTTTCGTCAGCCCACTTACTAATTCTGTTGATGGTAAGCTGCAGTTGCCGCTCACAGCTAGACAAATTACAAGAAGAGGCCGAGATGTGAATATCATCCACGTAGAGGGAGTATGAAACGGAAGGTGGAATTACCTTTGACAACGAGTTTATCTTTACGGCAAACAAGGAGACACTCAGCACACCTCCTTGCGGAACACCATTTTCCTGGATATACTGGTCGGATAGTGTGGTGCCAAGTCGAACTTGAAAGGAGCGACCTGTGAGAAAACTGCTTATACACCGCAACATGCGACCACGTACACCAGAGGCATACAAATCATGAAGGATACCATACCGCCATGTCGTATCATATGCTTTCTCCAGGTCGAAGAAAACGGATACACAATGTTGCCTATTTACGAAAGCTTCACGTATGGTTGTTTCCAGACGGACTATGTGGTCCAAAGTAGACCGCCCTTCTCGAAAGCCACATTGGTTATTAGCAAAGAAGTGGTTATGCTCCAAAATATATATTAACCGCCTATTAATAAGGCGTTCGAAGGTTTTGCCAAGGCAACTCGTTAACGCGATTGGACGGTAACTACGTGGGTCCGAAGGGTCCTTCCCAGCTTTCAGCAAAGGAATTACATGCGCCTGTTTCCAGATTTGAGGAAAGTAAGCTGCTTCCCACAGATAGTTGAAAAATCCTAGTAGTGTGTTCAGCGATTCACGAGACAACTGACGGAGCATTTCATAGTGGATTCCATCAGGGCCTGGAGCCGATCTCTTTTTGGAGCCCAGAGCTACCTCTAGTTCTTGCATTGTGAAAGGAGTGTTGTATGGCTCAGAGCTACAACCGGACATGGGTATACGGTGATACTCAGCACTTGCTTTAAAACGTTTAAATTCCATACGATAATTTCGGGAGCTGGAAACATTCTCAAAGTGCTCTCCAAGCACATTAGCAACATCTTTCAGCGAAGTAGCAGGGGAGCTAAATAGAGGAATAACAAAGCAACGGTAGTCCCCTTTGATTTTTTTGTACCTATCCCAAACTTCCTTCTCCGAGACAAAACTATTTAGGGAGGAAATGTACTTGGTCCAGGACTTCCACTTAGCTTTCCTCCTAGTCCATCGGGCCTTTGCTTTTAGTCTTTTAAATGCTATCCTATTTGAAGAAGTAGGGTACCTCCGAAAGGTATCCCATGCCCTATGCTGCTTTTTCCTAGTGGTAGCACAGTCTTCATTCCACCAAGGCCTACAACTCTTGGGTAAATTTTCAGAGGTGCGAGGAATGGCGTCTTGGGCGGCACTTATGATTTGCTCCGTAACATACACTGTCGCTTCTTCAGGTGACAAATTTGCTAGAACTGACAGATCAAGCACTGCATCAAGTTTAAGGAGTGCCCAGTCGGCTTTGTCCAGTTTCCACCTAGGGGTTCGTTTTAAAATAGTCGGCAGAGGAACGAGGCTTTCGATTACAACTGGGAAATGATCACTCCCAAAAGGGTTGTCTAAAACCTTCCAAGAAAAACAGGGAAGTATTGATGGTGATGAAATGGAGAGGTCAATGGATGTGAAGCAATTATGAGTGGAACTATAAAATGTTGGTTCTTTCTTATTTAAAAGACATATGTCTGACGAGAGTAAAAATCTTTCTACAACAGCGCCACGAGAGTCAAGGCGCTTACTGCCCCACATGGGACTGTGAGCATTAAAATCACCACAAATTAAAAAAGGCGTTGGGAGTTGCTGAACCAATCCTTGAAGTTCATGAAGATGCAGTTGACGATGAGGTGGTAAATACAAGGACACAACCGTAATGAGACGATCGGTAAGAACACGTACCGCAACTGCTTCTAGTGATGTACGCAGAGGAACTTCCACACATGCTATGCCACTCCGTACAACAATGGCAACACCACCAGAAGAGTGGTCTGAATCCGGATCCTTTCTAAAAACGCGGTGATGATTAAAAACATTTGTATGGGTATTGTTGAGATACGTCTCCTGCAAGCACACAGCAATGGGCTGTAGCTCATCTAGAAAGAAATGAATGTCATCAATATTTTGCAGGAGACTTCTACAGTTCCACTGTATAAAACTATATGTGTTCATGTTAAAAACGATTTAAAGTAAAACAAAACAAAAAAGGAAACCTGCACTAGGTGCCCTGGGGCGGTTTGGGTGCAGTTACTCGTGGATTGAGCTTTTTCTGGGAAGACTTTTTAAGCCTGGTGTCATCAGGTGGGACTGAACGAGGGGGAGGAGGTTCACCAAGTTCCATCCGCTCCTCCTCAGGCTGAACGGCTGAGGGAGCAGCTGGTATGGGTACATCCTTAGATGTCGAGGCCTCTCCTAGCGCCTTAAAACATAACACACCCTCCTTCTTCCTGGGAGGGGTCCGAGTAACCAGGGCAGGCACATCGTTCGACGGCCCGTCCTTTGGAATGGAGGAGGCACCAATGCCTTCTCCCCGAGGCTGCTGTTGCCGCCTCTCCTCTTGTCTCCCCTCCATTAGCACAGAGGCATCCCTCGCCTCTGCACCATCTGGAGGCCCCTGTGATGTCTTTGGTTCCAACGACAAACGGAGTCGTGGACCGAATCTTTGTGAGGCAGGGGGAGGTGGTGGAATCCCCAGGTCATTAGGACCGACCTGGGTTCCTACCGAAGACTTTGATGGCACACCCCCTGCACGTGCCACCAAAGAGTAAGGCCCCTCCTGCAGGAAGGAGAATCGCTTCCTGGCTTCGGGGAACGAAATGTTCTCTTTCACTTTGAGTGATATAATTTCTTTTTCTTTCCATTTTTTGCAAGATCGGGAATAAGCCGGGTGAGGTTCTTTGCAGTTGATGCAGGAAGGTGGATTCGAGCAATTCTCTGTAGGGTGATCATTTTTGCCACACTTGGCGCACGTTGTTTTTCCACGGCAGCTCAGGGCGCTATGGCCATACCTCTGGCAGTGGAAGCAACGCTGAGGGTTCGGCACATACGGCCGTACTTTACAGTTTAGATACCCCGCTTTGATTGATTCTGGGAGCGCTTTCAGCTCAAAAGTCAGAATGACATGCTTTGTCCTAATCTCCTGACCGTCCCGGCGAAAAGAAATTCGCTTTGCAGCTATGACTCCTTGGTCACGAAGGCCATCGACAATTTCCTCCTCGGGGGATTCTAGAAGGTCATCTTCTGATATTACGCCTTTAATAGTGTTCAAAGTGCGGTGGGGTGATACAGTAACCCTGTAGTCGGAAACCAAGTTGAGTGCCAGCAGGTCTGAGCATTGTTGAGAGGTCACAACTTCAACGAGGAGATCTCCAGATGGCATTTTTTTTTTGCTTTAAACTTCTTTCCGATCACAGATTCAAGTGTTTTTGAAACCAGGAAAGGGGATAACTTGGATAAGGGTTTTTCCATTTCAGAATGCATAACAAGAAATCGAGGAAACTTCTCCACAGGTGTAAATGCTTTCATAACGTGTACTTCGGTCCGGACCCTTTTCAGGGCCCGATCAGGTTTTTGGTTTTGCTTGGAACCCATGAGAAATGGGGAGGCGTTCGGTGTCTGTAGCGCACCACCCACCACGGAGCCCAACATGGGGATAGGTAATGCGCCATAGCAATAAAGGTTTTGCTGACGACATTACGCTATCAGTGCTACCAAGACACTATAACCTAGTGTGGGTCCAGACAAGAGGTCTATTGCCACCCAAGGTTAGCCCTTGCCGCCAAAGAGGGAAGAAAAAGGAGCAAGAGAAATGAGAAGGAAAAGAAGGAAACAGGACAGGTAAAAGTGAAAGATCGGAGGGGATAGTAGAAGATCTGGCGACTGACTGAATCATCCTGGTCGGGCCAAGCCAGGACACCCGTCTACAGGAAGCAGGGGCCAAAGTGGTGTGTTGCCTCGCCCGGGGGGCCCCGAAGGGTCCAAACCTACCCCGGGCTCAGCTCAACCACCAGGATGCCCTTTTCCCTGGACACGGGCTCGCCACGCACAGCCAGACGTGGGTGGGTCTTAGCCACTTTTACTCAGGGTCTGTGGTGTCGCCAAAGTGGCTGGGGTCCGTGGTGACGCTACTCACCAAGCACCTAGCACCTAAGGCGCAGGCGCCCCCTGCGGAGCTCGGGGTCCGTGGAGACGCCACTCTCCAAACACCTGCTTTCACAGGTGCCCCCTGCGGGGGTGAGGGCGGTGAGTGCGTGAGGGGTGTGAGGGCAGTGAGCGCGTGAGTGACATCAGGGTCGTGAGGGCGATGAGTGCGTGAGGGGTGTGAGGGCCATGAGTGCGTGAGGGCGGTGGGTGCGTGAGGCCCCCCTCAGACGGAGCAACTTTCTCATCAATTTTGGTGTTGCTGGCAGGTTGTTTCCTAGCTTTCCCTAGATCAACACGAATTTCTGAGATCGGGTCCGGCTCGAAACAAGCGAGCAATTCGGAGCAATTCGGAGACGTTTGAAGCGGCTGTATCCAATAAGAGACGCAATATTTTGATGTGATACCTTGTTCCGGTGATGATGACAACAAAAACTTGGTTCTGGTTTGAAATTGATCGTTTTTGGAAATAAACTGTTTCAGAAAGATGCATTAGTATTCTCAACGAGATTGAAATGCATAAAAACACGTTCATAGCGTGTAATTGTATGTCTAAATAGTGAAAGAAAGCTAAAATTTCATGACGACAATGGCAAATTGCAGCAATTGGTTGCTGCATGTGAACATGGGTGGCCCGTGTTGCTGCATGATGTTGCGAAGTCAAGTTTCTGGGCGAAATTGCTGCATATGAAGCGGGCCTTAGTGGCCTGAGGGCCATGAAAGCGTGAGGGGTATGAGTGCGTGAGGGCGGTGAGTGCATGAAGGCTATGAGTGCGTGAGGGCCATGAGGACGGTAAGTGCGTGAGGGGTGTGAGGGCCATGAGTGAGTGAGGGCGGTGAGGGGCGTGAGGGCGGTGAGGGGTGTGAGGGCCATGAGTGAGTGAGCGGCGTGAGGGCGGTGAGTGGCGTGAGGGCCATGAGCGTGTGAGGGCCGTGAGGGGTATAAGGGCGGTGAGGGGCGTGAGGGCCATGAGTGCATGAGGGCCATGGTGCGTGAGGACCGCGAGGTTCAGTGAGCGTGAGTGAAGGGCTGAAGGTGAGTGTGACTGTGAGGATGAGGGTGAGTGAGGGGCTGAAGGTGAGTGTAGGTGTGAGGGTGAGTGAAGGTTGTTGATTACGGGCTTTATGGCGCAAAGCTACTATGGCCATACTGCGCCAAGCTTGGGGTGAGTGAAGTGCTTAGGTGAGTGTGGCTGTGACGGTGAGTGAGGGCGACCTAAATTGCCGACCTCTGGTCTACAGTCAGAGGAAGAATAAAACTGGTGGTAGAAACACTTTTAATAACTGCATAACGTCTTCTATTTGGCTAATGAAAAAATTTGGCGTTCTGTGCCAACTCCCTATATAAAGGTGACTGAAATATGTCTAAAACGAGGCGGCAGCAGAGCGGTTTCAGCCAGCGTGCATACCTGAGCTGAAACAAGGTTCCTCGATGCCAGCACTTTCATCATGTGGTGGCTCATGTTGAGGGTCAAGGCTTTGCCTTGTCTTGTTAGTAGTCGAAGAGGTTGATGGCATGTCAACTTGTTCAACAGTGTCTGTGGCTGTTGCTTCTGGTAGCTTTCCCAACAGGTCATCAATAAACTAGAAATGGTAACCAGAAGCACTTCGCGTGTGTAAGTACCAAGAGCGCTGCTTGGTGCAAAGTAGAGCAAAGCACTGTTCTAGGAAACGTGCAAAAATTGTACATCACAAACAGTGTGCTAGTTACAAGGTCCTCTATAGTGTACCTATGCTGCGGAATTTGTAATATCAACACCACAAGACAGCTACCTGCTAGCAGAACAAAACAAAAACGTTTCGGAATCGAACCCCAGCCGCTGTATTAACCGAGCAATTGAGTACAAAAATATATTTCAGCCGTTACGAAAACAACCCACCTCTTTCCGTCGCCGTTTTTCCTCGTTGCCATCGGGTTGCTGTTGCTTGCGTTTCCGTGTAAACAGCGACGGCACCACGCCAGGTTTAAACCTGCAACGTTTCGTCGGCAGGCCGAGGCTCCGTAGTAGCGTCGGGCTCATGTGATAGTCTTCGTCTGCGAAGTGGTCTGAGCATAGCCAGGCGCTCTTCGAGGGCAGCCAGGTTGGCTGTGAAGGGCGGGAGGCGCGAATCCATAACTTTTGCAACGTGGGCTCGGTTGGAAACGTATGCACAAGCCTGCCATTGTAAGAACTGCAGTTCATACAGTCCTGCGCTGCACAGTGCAGCGGCATATCTTGCGAAACCGCTGGATCACACTAGTTGAGCGCCAGACGCTTAGCCAACTCAGATGACTGCTGCATCGTTGCTTTCGCCACCCGCTTCAACAGACTGAGAACGCCAGAACGATCGGCGTTGGTTGGAAGAACCGAAGAGGTGTCCAGCTTCGGTACCTTGGTCTGAAGCAGAGCTAAAAAGCGCGCCGCCGTTACACGTGGTTACACTTCGACCACGGTGACTTCGACAGCGTGATGTTTGATGTCGCCAAGATGCCGCTTGCTCGCCACTGGCCACGCTCGCTAGGCCGTTCGGAGCCGCATAGGTGTCGTGTGAAAAACAACATAATAAACACCATTCGACAAATGTATCAGATAAAATTGCTTTTCTTTTAAAAATATATCTCATCGTTTGCGTTTCGGGATGGGGTTCGCACATCGCATTTCTGTTTCGTCGCGCCACCACGTGGCGTGAGCGCACGTCGGAGCCAACGAGGTAGGTCGGAGGAGCTCACCATAGCCGCGCTCTGCGTACTACAGGTATAGTGTCGTCACTAAACGAGCTTTCAAAGAAACTCACCAGGTGCACCTTAGAATATTTATTTCCATAAATCATACACTTTAGACAACTTTATTATTTCAAGTACCGTAATTTAAGAGCCATTCGTGTGCTGTAAATATCAAAACAACAAAGAATTTAGATTATGGTCTTCGGTTCAGCATCCCTTTAAGGAAAACGCTGCGTGGCGTGCATCCGGTCGTTCTGTCCTGAGCAGTTTTCTGTTCCCAGCCAGGTTCAATTCGCGCGCTCGCGAAGCGTCACGTGTTCGAGGATATACATTACAGTTCTACCGAGGCCAGACGAACAAGCCGGGCCCGCGATTGATTCTTTTACGACCGCGAAACTTCACGTGTTGAGGATCTATTACACATCCTGCCAAGGCAAGACAAACAAGCGGGAAAACAAGCTGGGAAGCGAACAACGCCATGGTTACTCGTTCCAGTATTCGGCACGTAAAAATGGACGAGTTCACGAGTATGAAAGACAATCTCGGTGGAAAGTTTGGGTTTAAAGTAAACTCCAGCGGTGAAATTTTTAACTCGAAGGAAGTCCACTGCATCCTGTGGAAAAAGCCGTTTTCATGCAGTGGAAGCGTAAGTTCGCTTCAGTATCACCTACGAGCGAAGCACCCATGTACGCCGCTGCAGCAAGGACCATCCGCCAAAACGCAGACAACAATCAATGCCTTCTCATCGAGGTCCCTTTCTCTGAAAAGAGAAGAAAGCATCGCTCAAGCCCTGATTTCTTGTCTTCCTGTCGGAGAATGTGGAAAAACATCTTTGCCTTCTGAGCTGGAGAAAAAATATGTGAGTTTTTGAATCGTTGAACTATATGTATCCTCAATTGTAAATGTCCTTTGCGCCGTGTAACACAGAGTAAAATAGGTCTTCAAAGGCAAGACGAGTTGTGGCATTCTTTTAATATATCATTTATAAAAATCAACGCAACCGATTAATCGATTAATTAATCGACTAAAGGGTGGCGACTAATCGGGTTAAAATTTTTTATCGACGCCCAGCCCTAATATTTACCAACACGCTCGTTTTAATGTCAGTCTCCGGGCTTTGCTGTTTCCAAAAGAGATAACCCTTTATAAGGACAGAACGAGCGGGTTGGTGGGGATAATTAAACTTAAACAGTCCCTTCTCGTTTTCTTCCTCAAGTTTAATAGATAACCCTTCGGTGCTATCGGATCTACCCCGGAGAGAGAGAGAGAGCACGGCCGTTTCAAGGTAAGGATAGGGCGCTCGAAGCTAGAGCAAACAGGCGGTATCGTTTCACGCATGCACGGATGGCTGGTTTCAAATTTTCCCACATCCCTAACGAAACCGGCACATCTTTGTGTGTGCGTCTGCGGGATTTCTGTCCCGCGCCGCCGGTTTTAGCGAGCACGCAGCGTTGTTTTGGCTGGCAGAACAGTTGTTGACCGTCGATATTGTAAGGCCGTGGTGTCCTCATCCTTTCAGGCAACGATTCGCTTGCTTTCCCTTGTGCAATACTCTGACTGAATCCTCCTGGGTGGCTGTCACTGTTCGCCGCGTCAACGACACAATCGTACCATTTCACCCCTCGTGACACAGGGTGCGCTGCTCGCTTTACTGTCACGGGCCGTCCTATCTAACACAACGAGCGCGAAAGGTCGTGGTCATCTGCTGGCTCCGAAAGGGCGGGACGTTCATGCAGGCCAATGAGGGCCTCGAATCAATACGACGACTGCCGACTCCTCCACGTTAAAACTTTACGACACCTGCTGATCTGTTAAGAAGTGTTGCTTTCTCTTTTTGGAACTCCTCCGATGTAACTTGCCGCCTATAATAAAATTTAAATAATCAATAAATATAACAGGGTGGAAATACTGTATTTCATTTTTATGTGGCAACGTTGAAAAAAAAAAAACTATTTCCAAGCTTGTGAAGACGCGCAATTCGCAAGTCCATTTCGAGCCGTAAAAACACGTTTTTGTACGATATTGATGCTTAAATATAGAACATACAAACAAAATATACACTTTCTCGACTTGATTTTCGCGTAGAAAACTATCGCATCTACATTTTAACAAAAAAATAAAAAAAAATAAAAAATGGGTTTTTGGAGAAAATCAATTTCAAAAATGGTACTTTTTGGTTTTCACATAACATTAACGTAAACGTACCGCAAAGAATATTTTATACAGCCGAGTCATTTTATAATACATATAAAGAACGTGTTTTGGGCTCTCTGTGGACATAAACATTATCGATGTAACCCAAGTAAATCGCCAGTAATTAATTGTCAAAGTTCGTCAACAATTGACCGAGGGGGGGGTTGACATTTTTACAGAAAAAAAGCAAAACGCCTAAAATTATTTTATGGTATTGAAGCCTTTTAAATGTGTCACAGAGTGCTTGATAAAAGATAACATAATGTGGACTGAAAATCAACGGCGGGAGATCAAGCGAAACATCCGACCCACGACGGGTGTGAAAAACACTGCTTTTCGCCGCGGCCTTTTTAAAAATTCCTAAGTCGAGAACAAAACATCCGACGAACTTGCGGTTTGTGGCGACTGCGTTGTCAAGCAGTGTCAAGATGTGACGAGAAATAACCATCAAAGCGGGACTTATCAACCGTGTCACTCCTCCCCGCGCATGATATCGCGGCTGCCGCCTGCCCTGGCAGGAAGTTAGAATATGGTTTTATTCATTCAAAGCAAAATTAAGGTTGGTCTAAACATAAAAAAGTCGTTTTTTTGTCTTCATGGTATTTTACAGGATCATTTAACCAATGTGGTTCAGCCGTATAATCGATATTATGACGTAGCACAAAGAACGGACCCAACGATGCACCTCTTTGTATCGCCTGCGGCGCTGCTCAAAATTTGATAACTGCTGCCACTCTCGTCATCTCAGCAGAAGGTTCGCGAGAATCAGCGGCGTGTTTTCTCTGTCAATACTGCCCACGACCTCTGCACACTCCGTGAGTCGACGGCGTCACCCGATGCCCTTTTTTCCGGTGGAGAGAATCATCGCCAAGACGGTAAGCCCTTTTTTTATATGCTATGGGTGAAGTGAATTCAAATTCTTTTACACGACGGTGCAAAACTCTAGTTATCGGAATTAGTACAATGTCAGTTCGTATTCATTTATGACCGGATGGTCCATTAATTTTATGAAACTACCCTACGAAAGGCCCCTCTACATGAAAATATAGAAATGCATTACGACTTACTTTTTAATAGGGAGTTTTAGTAGACCGTTTCCGTGCACCCACTCTACAGAGCGGAGCGGGAAATCGCCACTGCGCATGTGCGGCGCCACTCTGAGGTCGAGCGTAGCTACCGTAGTGAGCGTCCGCTCCGCTTTGGAAGGCCCTGAGCGGGGGGTCGTTATCATTTGAGCCCGTTCTCGTTTCGACCTTCTCACTTGGCCCTTTTCAAAACAGCAATTCTCAAAGATATCTCGCTTTGACCCGTCGTATTTGGCCCTTTCCCGTTTCGTCTTTCGCATTCCAACCCTCCTCATTTGGGCCCGTTCTCGTTTCGCCCTTTTCACCTGGCCCTTTTCAAAACAGCAATTCTCAAAGATATCTCGCTTTGACCCGTCGCACTTGACTCCGTACCAAAATCGTTTTTTTAGGGTAATATTAATACATTGATATAATTTGTGCGTGTGTGTGTGTGTCACGCTACAGGCATACTCTCTCTGCTAAGGATTTTAGCAGTGCGTCGAGGTCGTCGTGAAAAGCTACTAGCTGACAATAAAACAGACCAACTATTTATCGCATGCGATAAATAGTTAATCTGTTTTATTGTCAGCTAGTGGCCGCGGCCATGGAAGTGCACAATCGTAGATACAAAAAAAATATATCTGCGTGCGTGAAGGCTTGACTTCTTGGGCACGTAATATTTAGCGAAAAAGCGACGGAATGTTTTCCCTAGATATTAAGGATTTGTTTTACTCCTTGGATTATTCTCCTTCAGAGGTTGAGAGATATTATTGAGCAAAATGTGGTGCAGTTTCAATCTCATTCAGATGTCGATGTTGGTAGCTTTCTTAATCTTGTTGAGATTTATTTAGGTTCTACCGTGATGGCTGATATAAGCTCTTCTTGCAAAAGATTGGAATTTGCATTGGTTCCCGGATGGCTCCAGTTTGATCAGAGATATATATTCGTGTAATTGACCTTGTCGCGGCTAAGTCAGTTGAAGTTTACATTGAAGGTTCATTGTTGGTACGGAGGTACGTGGACGATGTCTTAATATGCACTTCGGATCGTCTTGTTGGCGAATGTGTTAGAGGCCTTCTTGCAAGCAGCTCCTGAGTTGACTTTCGCTATTGAAACACCAGCAGATGGTTGGCTACAATTTTTTGGTATCCGGTTCCAGGTTGAGAATGGTCTCTGCTGGGAGTTCGGCAAGACGGACTCAAAACCTCTGCTTTCTAGGGATAGTTGTCATTGGAAGATTGTGAAGCAGGGTATAGTAAAGTCTGTATTAACGAACTCCCTCAAGTTGT